TAAAATAATTTTTATCAAAGTAATAGAATTATTTATAATTCAGTATATAAATCTTATTATTATATATATATTTTATATATTCTGTATATTTTCTGTAATTTTTATTAATATTTTAATATATATTTTTCCATAGGGTGTACCAGTTCTCAAACAGTAGTTGAACAACTTAATGATAATTAAAAGAACTTCATCTTTGATTTCTTTGTAGAATTTATAATTTAAACCATCTGATCCTGGTGTTTGGTTGTTTGAAAGTTGGCTAATAATAGCACTTACTTCTTCTATTAAGATATCTTTAATCAGAGCTTGGTTATACCAATAGTAGGCTCTGTGTAAAAAATTAATTGCTTTCTTGTCTGACTCTCCAGCTTTATAAATTTCTTGATAAGCTTCTTTGATATAGTATAGAACATCTGTAGGATTTTGAGATTGGCTGCTGTAAGGGATTCGAACTTTATCTTTAACTGATGTGCTGCTTCTGGATTTATAGAGTAAATAGAAAAATCTAGTAGATTTTTCACCCTTCTCTATCTATTTTGCATTTGATTTGGTTTGCCATTTATCGAAGAGTGCTTGAACTTCCTTTTGCAGCTGAGCATTAATGTCTTTACTTAGTGCTGATAGCTTATCTGACTTTTCTTTAGCAATTTTATTATTAATTTTGATAAGTTTCTTTTGAAGCCTTTGGATTTTCTTTTCTAATGAAGGCTGAGGTCTGAAGGCCTTTGTGATTGATTGAATTCTGCATTTGTATAAGTCCCATTTGAAGAAGTCTGTTATACTTTGAATTTCTTCTATTATTTCTGCTCTAAGCAGTGGGTTGTTCCAACTATTCTTATTGAACCTCTATTGTTTAGTTTTAGTAAAGTTAGATGTTAACTGAAGCTCATAGTCCACCAGCAAGTAGTCTGAGTTCCCAAACTAAGTTGCAATATTTTTGTAACAATGTCTGTAATTGGCATTAATAAAAATATAATCGAGTCTTGTGGCCATTTTTCTACCATCTCTGATATTTTGATAATAAGTTATAAAAGGTTCTTCTCTCTGTTTTAAACTCACTGTATCTATAAATTCTCAAGTAAGCCTTCTGAGAGTTTCTCTAGTAGAATCACTAGTTGGAGGTGAGTTACTGATTCTGTTTATTTGAGGGTTAAAATTAGTATTAAAATCTTCTGCTAAAATGTTTATGCATCTTTCATCCACTTGAGAGGCCCAATTGTTGAAGAAAATAGTTCTGTCCTCAATGTTTGAAGGTGTATAAACATTAGTAAACTTGAAGGGTTGATGCTTGTAGATTAGTTCTATAATGATAACTCACCTATTATGAAAATCTTGAGTTTTGGTGAATAAAATGTTCTGATTGCCTGCCAATATTGCCATTTTTGATATCAAGTACAAGCAATAGCCTCATTGTTGTTGCAAAAAATTCCTAGTATTAAGATTTTCTAAATTTGTTAAAGCATTATTATATCCAAATAGTATGATTTTAGTAGTGTTAATGTTCTGTATGTCTTATTCATATTATTTAAACCTTTGACATTTAGTGTTGCAATTCTAATTTTTTTAATCATAATGATAAAAAGGAAGGATGATTTAGTAGAGCCTTCTTCTGTACCCATAGCTGTTCTTAAACCTGCTGTTATTTTCTTGTAGGTCTGTAACCTTTTGCCAATTTTTAGGTTTTTATTTAGAAGAGACCAGGGTAAAACTGTTTTCATCTTTGCTTTGAGAGTTTGCAGTTTGACTTGAAGAACTGCTGTACATTGTGGCCAAAAGGTCTGTTGAAGTCTTTATTCTGGAAATGAGACTGTTGCCTTCAAGTGTAAATGTTTCCAAAATTTGTTTTTTGTCAAGTAAAGTCTGCATATGCAGCTTTACCTCTTCAGACCAAGAAGATTCTATTTTAGATTCTTCATCTATTCCTAAATTAGTTGAGGTAATGTTTTCCTCCTGCTCATCGATAGTTGAGATAAGATTTTCCTGTTGCTTATCTATATTCATATTGGTCTTATTAGTTGAATTGTAAGGGTTGTCCAAACTTAGTACTAGTGGTTCCTTTTCCCTCTGCTGAAGTAGCAGCTTATTTTCTTGCTTTTTTTGCATTTTGTGATTTCTATGAAGGTTTCTGATTTCTACTGATGTTTTGTATTCTGAACAGTCTTTTTTGATATATTCAGTTTTATTACAAAAGTAATATAGCTTTGGAGCTTCTCACCAGTTAGTAGTCACTTTTTGATTCCAAACATATGTGTATTTAGGAATTCTAGATGCCAGGTTTGGGTCTTCTGTTGTTTCAAAAATCACTATTCACTGATCTGAGAGGACTGAGGTGCCTTTATAAACTAGTAGCTTGATAGATAAGATAGTACTAATATCTTGAAATGCCTCCTGAAACAAAGTTCTTTTTTTTTATTAGGGTATTGTGAAGCCTTACTGACAGAAAGTTGCATTTGATGTTTATGGAAATGTATCCTTGAATATTCTGTTTAAAGACTGTAAGGCCTTCTGTTGCATAATACTGTTGTTTTTATTCATTTGAGAAGACAACTTCTAGATGTGTATATTTGTTTTTAATAATTATTGATTTGACTGCAATTAGGTCTTCATCAATATTCTTCTGCATAACTTCAACAATATCAGAGGTAGGAATATTCTCTAAACTATGAATTTCAAAAATTAGTGTGTTTTCATTTTTAGTATAGAGTCTCTTTCTGGGAGAATAAGTTGAATATGTTGCTTTTCCTTTTTTAAGTTTTGCAAAAAGATCAAACTTTGATTGAACATCAGTGTGATCTGTTTTGTGTTCAGTTATTTGTTCTGTTTTAAGAGTATTATTGGTTATATGATCAATTTGTTTTGGTTAGTGCTCCATTATGTGACTAGAGCTAGCCATGTGTTTTGTTTGTTTTGATGCATCTTGACAAGTTACATCAGATAAAGTAATCAAAACATGTTCTTCTTGCATGAACTTTGCATTTTCTTTAGTTTCACTTTTAGACTTAGTGTCTTTAGCTTTGAGTACAGTGTTAAGATCTTTGTGTTTTAATTTGGTATCCTTTATTTTGACCTTAATTTGGGAAGCTTTATTATATTCTAAGTTTTCTTTATTGTTTGCATTATTGTTAGAAAGTTCAGATGTTTCTATATTCGAAGTTCTTGCCTTCTTAACTTTCTTGTTTAAACCACCTGCAGAGATGTTTAACATAATTGTACCAACTTGTTTTTGTTTCCTAGATACAAAAGTTTTAGCCCTTGCTACATATTTTGTAACTGTGTTCTGAAAATTTAATGTTATTTTTATAAAATTGTAAGTTCTTCACCTATGATCAATAGAGAACAGAAAAAAGTTTTTTTTTGTATAGAAATTTTCTTCTATGTACTTATAAAGTTTCTACTCTGATATTATATAAATAAATAAAAAATATATATATTATTAAGATTTATATAAACACTACTTATAAGACAGCAAATAGGTAATATGAACTTTATAGCATTATTGCTAATGTTAAAGAAGCTAAATTCCTAATAGCTTACCTTATAATAGATACAACAAAGACAAGAAATTCAAATACTGTTATAGGAAAGTGTACTAGTATATTAATAAGTTTTCTGAAGGCTATAAAATCATATAATATAAATCTGAATTTTGTGTTTACTAACAAAGATTTTGCAGAAATAAATTTTATATCTGAAGTATAAAATACTTCAGTAATACAATTATGTTTCTGGCATATAAATCGAGCAGTAAAGCATAAGCTTGAAGAAAAGCCAAAATCTTCAAGAAATAGTAAATTAATAACTATAACTTATAATTCTAATCAAGCAGCTAATAAGTTTGATTTTATCAATATTATCTTTTATCCATCTGAAGCAGACTATAATCTTCAAACATATGTTATTTGTCTATTTATATATAGAAAAGTGATTTTGGAGCTAATGCAAAATTACTTTGACATGCATTCATTAATATCAGTAAATGCCCAAGTATAAATAAATATAATTTAATTTAAATGACTATAGTTAGATATTCTAATATTAAGTATTAAACTTAGTAATATAATAGTTATTATTTTTTGTTTTTTTTTTAACCTATATAACAAGGATCATATAAAGAAATTATATATAGTTAATTCTCTCTATACTGAACAGTTTCTATATATAAAAAAATAAATAAAAGTTATTATGTTGCTAATCTGAACTTGTAATAAAATTTGCAAATGTTCTAAAGTTTTGTGTTTAGTTTTTGTAAAGTTTATTAGGGGTTTTGATTATTCAAGTTTGGATTTGAAAGAATTGATTATATTATTTATTGGCCTAAGTTGTTAAAAGCTTGATCCTATTTGTTCAAACTTCATAAATAGAGATTTTAATTTGAATCTATTTCTTGAATTGGGCTTATTCATATAATGGTATATAATTTAATAACAATATTAGATATATATTATTTTCAATTTCTTAATTAAGATCTGCATATACTCTTTCCTAAACATATGAGTTTTGGAGCAGAGTAACCTTTTTGTTAAAATAAGAGCAAACAACAAGACAAAACCAGCTAAAGTTTTTACTAAAACAAGGGCCCTTGCTCTTGTTCCAAGAAAAGGTTTTTTACAGAATTTTAATATACAAAAAGTGTAAAGATAACAAAAAAAATGGCATCAACAAGTGGCAGAAAAAAAGTAAAGAAAAACAAAGAAAACATGTCAAGCTCTTTAAGCTTGATGACTGACATAAAAGAGACTACTAAACATGACAAAAAGAAAAGCAGATACTAAAAAAAATCTCTAGTAAAAACCCAACAAGTTGGAACAAACAAGTTGAACTAAAAATAGAAAAAACAAAAGCTACTCAAGACCAAAAAGTAAACAAGAATAACACATCCAAAGATACTATAAATATAACAACAAACAACATGTCTGAGGAATAGGTAATAGTAGACAACTTAGAAAAAACTGAAAATACAACAGGACAGGAGCTAGACATAATAGAAAACTTGCAAAGTAGCAGTTTGTTAAGTGAAGTATATAAAACTAACCCTTACAATAACTTACAAAAAGACAGTAACAGACAAAAAGATCTAAAAGAGATGCTAACTAAACAGTGATCTAGTCTCTTTCCAAAATTAAAAAAAGAAAGTCTACCTACTCCTTCTTCATGCCCAAAAGCCAAATCAGATCAAAAAATAAAAATGCTCTAATGATAGACATCCAAGCCATGCATAGCTCTTTCAATAAAATTATAGCCTCATTATTCAAGAACCTTAAAGAGGATATCATAGCAGCAAAACAATACTTTATAAAAGAGACATGCACATATTTGGAATTTGTGTTTGAAAACAAAAACAAATTAAAACACTATGCTATTAAGAGTATTAATATTTTCAGTAGAACCTACTTCAGCTTTATCCCTACAGATTCAAGAAAATCATTTCTTTCAGTTAAGATCAGAAATGTTCCACTAGGTAACAAAAAAGCAATTTCAGATGCTATAAAAGAAGCCTTCAAGTCTGTAGGCAGAATCACATCAATCAAGCCCCTACTGATTGAAAGAACATTCTATCTTATGAACCAATTGATTATAATCTTTGAGAACTCAGATGATTCTAACCTAGAAAGCAAAATACCTTGTTTTACACATGTGTAGGACAATAAGGTCACAACAGAATGGAAAATAGTACCTAAGATGTGCTACTTCTGTGAAAAAAAAGGCCATGTTAAAAAAGAATGCCAACAATTTCAGAACTTAGTAAATCTACAAATTAGCTATCAACAATACAAAGAGAACAAACATAATAGAAGACTCTCAAATAACTTTCAAAAATTAAATGAGATTTCAGAAAGTACTGAACAGAGCAATGAAGAACCTCTATCACTAGCACACTCTAAGCAGCAAGAACAAAACCATACAAAAGATGATACACATATAGTCTTAGAGGAAACTGGTCCTAGTTATCAGCAAAACCTTTAGCTTCCAGTCTTAGCAGAATTAGCTACAACAAATAACAGCTTAGATAAACAAATGCAAGCAACAACCCAAGAAGTTTTCTTATCAGATACAGAAATGCTATCAAAAGATGAACTTGCCATTTATGGCTATGAAACACCACATCCATCTGCAAGTCACATTCCCAAAGCAGCTTCTTCTGACAAAAATGAAGAAACAGATGGCTTTATCACAGTCATTAACAGAAAAACCAAGAAAGGAAACAGAACA